CTAACAGGTGGGGCTTGGGGGAGGTGAATCCACAGCCCACTTGCTGACATCAGAAACCAGATGGTGGATTGTTTAATGACAAGTCAAACCCAGGCCTTCATCGTGAAGTTGACTGGGACACTGGAAATCTAAACAGGGGACTGGCTCCAATAGCAGGCACAGGAGGGCAGGAAGTGTGGGGAGCTGGGGATACAGCAGGCTTCTGCTGCCCAGTTGGGCTAAGTCTGGCTCTCCAGGGACCTCCTCCTACCTTGGACCCATCCCTGTGGTCCTCCCAACTTGGTGCAGGGTGCCCTCAGCAWCCATACCCCAGCCTGTCTCAGAGGGGTCCCCCTTCAGAGGAAACGTAAATGAAAATGGGATCAAGGTCCTTGTCCAGGCCTCTCCTAGTTTCAGTGTAGTAGAGAGGAGTCACGGGGAGTGACTCGCTTTGACCCTGTCTCTCACCCTGTCTGACCTGCTGCCTTGGCAGTGACATTTATCAGATGGAGAAGGACATTGCCATAGAGCAAGAAAGGAATGCTCGCTACCGACCACCTAAAATACTGGAGCCCATCGCCTCCCAGGAACCCCCACCCAAGGTAAGCCAGCCCCTGGCCTTGCTATTAGTCCCATGAGCCATGACAGAGCCAGGGCCTGTGTGACCCACTGCCTGCTCAATGTAAGCAGGATGCTTTCCTACAATCCTCTCTCAGTTCTGCAACTCAGCTATCTATCAATCACCCCTTGTCATCTTCAGGCCCTGGCAGGTGTCATCTGAGACAGCAGATACCTTGTCATTTCTCAGAACTTTCCCTTGGGAGGCTGGGCACTTTTCTTCTGAGAGCTTCCTAGGGCTAAGTTAGCTCTCCCTGAGGACACATGGATGGAGAGCATCCTGGGCCCCCGAAGTCCAGTCTCTGTCCATGCTCTCCATGGCAGCTTGGGCTCAGGAACCAGAGGCCCACTGCTCCACCATCATGTGGCGGGGAGGGGTCCAGAGACCAGGCCTGTATTTGTCAGCTAGAGCTGCCATAACAAAATCCTACAGAATGAGTGGCTTAAATCACGCACTTACCTCTCTTCTGGAGGTTGGAAGTCCAAGGCCAGGCTTTAGCAACTTTGGTATCTGGTGAGGGCCCCTTCCTGGCTTTCAGATAGCCACCTTCCTGCTGTGTCCTCACCTGGTGGAGAGAGAGAGAGAAACCTCCAGTCTTTCCTCCTCTTCTTCTAAGGGCACTAATCCCTTTATGGGGCCCCATCCTCATGAACTCATTGAACCCTAATCACTTCCCAAAATCTCTGCCTCCTAAACCATCACATTGGGGGACMGGACTTCAACATATGAACTAAAGGGGACACAAACATTCAGTCCATAATAATGTAT